GCCCCGCCCTCTCTGTTCTCCGTTAGAACCTGCACCTGTGTGAGCTCGTGCAACACTCGAGTCAGCTCGCTGGCGTAGGGACACTGAGTGTAGTCGTCCTCGGCCCAGCGCCCGGCTCGATCGCACCGCCGCCACGCCTTCTTCTCCCTGGGGGCGGAGCCATGAGCGGCGCCGGCAGAACCGAGGGCCGCAGGGGCGCACGGCAGGAAGGCCAGGAGACCGGCCAGCGTCTTCGGCCACCTGCCACATGCATCGAACACAGAAATGAATGAATAAACGAATAAACGAATAAATAAATAAATAAATCAAAGCAGCAGATGGTAATTTCATACTCCCTCTACTCACCAAAACATTAATTTGCATAATTGGTTTGCAACTGAGTCTTTTTTTCTGCTACTTGATGTGAAAATGTTCAGTTTTACTAATAAATTCTGATTTATTGACTTTATTAACAAACTATTATTGTTCTAGTGAGGAGTTAAAAAYTAAACCTATAACCATGTGATTGTGTTTCATTAAAAGGGGTCCTACTATCTACATAGGACAAATCATAAATGGAAATAAATGTAGACAATGAAATAATGTCAAATTAAAACTGTGAAAATGATAAATATGAATTTATGTTGCATTTAGCATCAAGTAAATTAGTTAAGTTCTTGCGTTTTATTGTTTAGGATGCAATAATATCAAGTCATTTCTACATTTATTTCTAATCATGACAGATCTGACCCAATAACTTCTGCTGAAGAGCTGATTAATGARAGTGCAACACATTGTTTATTGTTCATGTTTCAGAGCAAACTAAAACTCTAGAAACATCTCTGGAAAATAAAAACTAGAAGGTTGTATTTGTTTGGTGGTCTGGACTCTTTCTGTGGGAACGTCTCATGTGAGTCTCCGCCCACAAACCAAAAGCATCAGACGTTATAAATAATTCCGTTCTCAACGTGTCTGTGTTCCATTTAAACCTGCAGTCCAGTTTAAGAAGCCAAATGTCAGTGAACAAATGTAAAATAATCCCTGCTGCCTCCTCCTCTCACAGTGAAAACTCAGCATTAGTGTTTTAATGACATTGAAAAGTTCAATAAAGTCTCATCTGAAGCAAGAAATGAGACTTTCTGAGTAATGTCAGGGTGGTCCAGGACCCAGCGCCGCTCTGCTGACCAACCTTTAAACAACTGTTTTTACACACAAATGACTCACTTCCATTTTCCTGCTAATTCCTACAGATTAGTTTCAATAAAATAAAGAGGAAAAGCATCAAATGAAAGCAGACACAGCCAGGTGTGTCAGAGAAACCCTCCCTGCTTCTGTTTTTTCTGCTGACAGAAACTTTAAAACCTCCTCCAGTAAAAAGTCAAGTAAAGCTTAAAGCAGAAGCGTGTTTGAGTTAATCTGAATTAAAATAAAACACGGCACTTTGGAGGGCAGTAATCTGTTCTGAGATTAGAGACCTGCCATCCTGCAGCTCCCTCCTTTATTCCTCCCTTCCTTCTCTTTCACGCTGCAGCAGCAGCTACTTGGTAATAAATGGCATTAATTTTGCCCCCAACACAAGAAAGGGGCTCATTTTCCAGCCCATTACTCCAAGACTGTGTCAGAAACAGCCTGTGTGCGAGTGGGCAGGAAGCTACAGGAACTACATGACAACAACACACCCACAGGACAGGTGTGTGTGCGTGTGTGTGTGTGTGTGTGTGTGTGTTTCATACAGAATGAGACAGCTGGGTTACATTTATTCCTTTTTTTAGAATATAATATGTCAGCTTTACATTTGTTTGGGTTAAAACCAGAATCTAAAGATTAAAAGCAATATTCAAAAAGGAAAATGAGTAGGTCCTCTGGATGGGTTTCCTCTTTTTGATTTTTCTACAGGGATTACTGAGATGCATCAGGATAAAACCAACATTTCTTACAGTTTGTTCTGAATTCTGTGTTCTGGAGCTCTAGCTGGTGCAAAGCAGACCAGGTCCCAGCCTTCAGCTCAGCTGGACCAAACATGGACCTGAAGAACAGCCTGTGATTATAAGGGTCATTTTCTGACAGCTCTTTCTGCAGACGCTTGTATTTTTGGTGAACTAATGGCAGTGAGGTTAAACTACAGACCTGCAGGTATCAGCTTTAAACCAGTGATTACTGTCCGTCACAATTAATTATACAGTCAGTACACTAAAGGCTTATTCTTATAGATTTTATGCAACATTCTTATTTAAGAATGTGAGAGAAGAAATCTCTGTTTAATGAAAGGTTTTAACTCATCCCACGTTTTAAATGTTTTTTCTTTATTTCACCAGTTTTTTTCTTACAAAAACATAAGAAACACGCTGAGGTACTACAATCATAATACAGCCGTCCAGTTAGGAGCTTAAAGTAACGTCATCGTTTAAATTCCTTCTTTTGCACATTTAAATCCTTCAGTTGAGGTTTATAAAGTAGAAATGCAAAGCTTTGGTCCGAATTCCTCCTTATTGCAACTCCATAACCCCCGCCCCCTTTCTGGGGTGTGTCATTCCCTTAACCTCGCCCCTTTTCTTTGGTGTATAACTCCACAAACCCCCAMCTCTTCATGGGGTGTGCAACTCCACAAGCCCCGCCCCTTTGATGGGGTGTGTCATTCCCTAAACCCCACCCCTTTATGAGGTGTGCAACTCCACAAGCTCTGCCCCTTAATGGGGTGTGTTGTTCCAAAATCCCACCCCTTTTTCTAGTGTGTGTGACTCCACAAGCCCCACCTCTTTTCTGAGGTGTGTAACTCCATAACCCCTGCCCCCTTTCTGGGGTGTGTCATTCCCTAAACCTCGCCCCTTTTCTTTGGTGTATAACTGCACAAACCCCACCTCTTCATGGGGTGTGCAACTCCACAAGCCCTGCCCCTTTATGGGGTGTGTCTTTCCAAAACCCCGCCCCTTAGTCTCGGGTGTGTAACTCCACAAGCCCCACCTCTTTTCTGATGTGTGTAACTGCACAAACACCACCCCATTTCTGGGGTGTGTCATTCCAAAACCCCGCCCCTTTTGTGGGGTGTTTCCATCAGCTCTGCCCCTTATCTGAGCTGTGTCTCAGATCAACTCATTTTGATGCTGTCTCTTTGAATCTAAAGCAGGCGCCTCGCACCCCGCCCCCCTCCAACTTCAAGACTGGTTTATTCCAATTTGTTAGAGGGCTTTACAGTGATATAGCTGCACAGAAACTTTTATTTAAAATTTAATTAAAATGTGTTAACAAGAAGACTTGTCCATCCAGCTTTACATGTTGGACCCAGAGTCTGACCCAGAACCAGAGCCTGACCCAGAACCAGAGTCTGACCCAGAACCAGAGTCTGACCCAGAACCAGAGTCTGACTAGAACCAGAGTCTGACCAGGACCAGAGTCTGACCCAGAACCAGAGTCTGACCCAGAACCAGAGTCTGACCCAGAACCAGAGCCAGCACCAGGAGAGACTAAATTCATCTTTTCTAAAACAAGCAGAACCAAGTCTACAACAAAATGTATTGAACTGTTAAAAAGTGGATTTTTYAGGACATTTTAATTTTCAGACCTATATAAAAACAGAACCAACAGAAGGTGAACTTTTCTTTCCCCATGACTATATTTCATCAGCCAGCTCCACACGGCTGAGTGAACAGGTGAGAAAATGACTCACCTGAAGTCTCCCTTGTTGTTAGTGACTCTGTCAGCCGGGCAGTACGGAGCTGACGTCTCCACTACAACGATTTCCATTTGCCTGGACATGTTTCCTCTGGAAGAAGTCAGCAGACACTCCCAGCTGCCGCTGACGGCCACATCAATGTTGGACAGGACGACTTCGCTGCAGGGCAGAGGAAATAAAGTCCAGGAGGGCTGGTGTTATGAGTCTGTGTGGCAGCTTGGTGAATACACAACTCAGTACTTCAGGTTGTACATTATACACAAGTTAGAGGTAAAGGTACTCTTAGGTTCAGGACTTGAACCCACAGTTCAATCAGTTTGAAATCCTTCTGTTTAAGTAAAAAAAGGTAAATGTTTGGAATTGTCTTAAGGATTCCAGACTCAGTAAATCTGTCAGAAAGTCCAGCTGATGTCAGAAGCTCTGCAGCAGTTTATAGCAGCTGAAACCAGCTGCAGCTGAAGATCGTTACTCAGGCTTATCTGTCCCACCATGTCGGAGAGATTCATATCTCCGAGCAAAACGCCGGATTAAACAAAGAAAGGTGGAGCGGTGACAAACAGACAATTCATCAGGGCCACTAAGCTCAAGGGTTTGACTTGATGTGGGGAAAAGAGATGTTTGCTGAGCAACTGTTGTAATCATCAGGGAGATTCTGACTGAAACGTGTCGGCTGCTTCAGCTCCACATCAACTCTGAGCTCTGATCCTGCAGCAGAGACACTTAGTGAGACGGGCTGRGTTCTGTTTGGATGGAGAAACAGAAGAAAGGAAAAGTTTCTGTGTAAAAACCATCAAAGTTCCTCAAACCAGTTCAGTCCAAGTCAGATAAAACAGGTTAAAAACAGGTTAAACTAACACATGGAACATGTGAAACAGGTCAAACTAACACATGGAACATGTGAAACAGGTTAAACTAACACATGGAGCATGTAAAACAGGTTAAACTAACACATGGCACATGTGAAACAGGTTAAACTAACACATGGAGCATGTAAAACAGGTTAAACTAACACATGGAACATGTGAGACAGGTTAAACTATCACATGGAACATGTGAAACAGGTTAAACTAACACAAGG